CATGCATTCCTCCAAAACCCAATATACGGTGTTAATGGGAGACTTCAATGCAAAACTAGGCACAAGAGAGAACGGTGAGCTGAAAGTAGGGAAATTTGGAATAGGGCAACGGAACCCAAGGGGCCAGCAGTTGGCTGACTTCATGGAGAAAGAGGGACTCTTTATGATGAACTCTTTCTTCCAGAAGCGGCCCCACAGGAAGTGGACCTGGTCGAGCCCCGACGGTTCGACAAAAAATGAGATTGACTTCATTATGACGACCAGACGACAACTGTTCAGTGATGTCTCAGTGATCGCGAGGGTGAAAACCGGCAGCGATCACCGAATGGTTAGAGGCACACTGAACCTAAACGTTAAGTTGGAGAGGTCTCGTCTAATGAAGTCAACGCTCCGTCCCCCTCGTGCTCTAATCCAAGGTCCCGAAACCTTTCAGCTCGAGGTACAAAACCGTTTTCAGTGCCTAGAAGACTGCAATGAAGTGGACGATTTGAATGACAAGCTCGTGGAAACTGTCCATGCGGTCGGAGCTAAGTTCTGCAAGACCCGCCGCAGAAGAACACAAAAACTCTCCGATCACACTCTTAATCTCATGGCTGTTAGACGGGAGATGAAGCTACATTCTTCAACAGATTTAACAGCATACAGGCAACTGAACAGACAGATCTCCAAATGCATGCGGCGGGACTTACGCAACTTCAATACAGCTCGTATTGAAGAAGCGATCGAGCGGAACCAAGGCTCCAAAGTCTTTGCCAGAGATCTGTCTGCCAGAAAGCGCCAACTGTTAAAGCTGAAGACAGAATGTGGCAGCATCGTTTCCGGGGCACCTGAGATTTTGAGTGAGATTGAGAGGTTCTATGGGCAGCTGTACACGTCATCGTTGGAGCCGCACGCAAGTGTGAGTAACGATCCAAGAGCGAGTCTTATCCGACATCATTCCGATGATATCCCGGACGTCAGTCTGAGCGAGATTAGAATGGCTCTCCAGCACCTTAAAAACGGCAAGGCCCCAGGCGAGGATGGAATTACAGCGGAGCTTCTGAAAGCGGGTGGAAAACCGGTACTTGAAGTCCTTCAGAAGCTCTTTAATTCCGTCCTCCATGGTGGCATTACACCGGAGGCGTGGAGCAGAAGAGCGGTGGTCTTGTTCTTCAAGAAAGGCGACAATGCTCTCTTGAAGAACTACAGACCGATTTCCCTTCTGAGCCGCGTCTACGTGCTGTTTTCGAGAGTCATTACGAATCGTCTCGCGCGCAGACTTGACGACTTCCAGCCTCCCGAACAAGCCGGTTTCCGAAAAGGCTTTAGCACCATAGACCACATACATACCCTTCGGCAAATTGTACAGAAGTCCGAGGAGTACAATTTGCCACTATGTCTGGCGTATGTGGACTATGAGAAAGCCTTTGATTCCGTCGAAATTTGGGCGGTGCTGCAGTCCCTTCTGCGATGCCAAGTTGACTGTCGGTATATCGAAGTGTTGAAGTGCTTGTACAGTAGGGCTACGATGGCTATCCGAGTACAGAACCAGAGTACGAAACCTATCCAATTGCAGAGAGGTGTAAGACAGGGTGACGTCATATCCCCGAAACTCTTTACCGCTGCATTGGAAGATGTTTTCAAGCTTCTGGACTGGAAAGGATACGGTATCAACATCAATGGCGAGTACATCACTCACCTTCGATTTGCCGACGATATAGTCCTTATGGCAGAATCGCTGGAGGACCTAAGCACTATGCTCAATGACCTCAATAGTGTTTCCCAACGGATAGGTCTTAAGATGAACATGGACAAAACAAAGATCATGTTTAATGTCCATGTCACACCTATGCCGGTAGTTGTTGGGAACACTAAGCTCGAAGTTGTTGACGAGTATGTTTACCTGGGACAAATAGTCCGACTAGGTAAGTCCAACTTCGACCGAGAGGTCAATCGACGGATTCAACTCGGTTGGGCAGCGTTCGGGAAATTACGGCACATCTTCTCGTCATGTATACCTCAAAACTTGAAAACGAGACTGTACACCCAGTGCGTGTTGCCAGTGATGACATACGGAACTGAGACGTGGTCCTTCACTGCTGGCCGGATGAGGAAGCTCAAGGTCGCTCAGCGAGCTATGGAGAGGGCTATGCTCGGAGTTTCTCTGCGTGATAAACTCAGAAATGAGGATATCCGCAGTAGAACTAGAGTGACCGACATAGCCCAACGGATTAGTAAGCTGAAGTGGCAATGGGCCGGCCATATAGCTCGAAGAACCGACAACCGATGGGGAAGAAAGGTTCTCGAGTGGCAGCCTCGTACCGGCAGGCGAAGTGTAGGGCGTCCCCCCACTAGATGGAGTGACGACCTGGTAAGATATGCAGGAAGTCGATGGATGCAGGTGGCTCAGGACCGTGCTTTGTGGCATTCTTTGGGGGAGGCCTATGTTCAGCAGTGGACTTGGAAGGGCTGTAATGATGATGATGATGATGAATGTAGAAAGAGGCGTTGAGCCTGCAATTTTCTTATCAAAAGTCAAGAAAACAAAAGCGAGAACAACAGACTATATTTTATGTTCTTAGTTTAAATTTAATATTAAGCAGTAGACAATGCATATGTCTGCACTCTGGTAACGAATACATACGAATAATTTATTAGGTATTTAATTTTTAGATTTAGATTGACTACCTTTGCCGTTCGACCACATATCGGCGCACTTTTGACCTGGCGGAAATGTTATGGTTAGACCATATTACATCTTCAGCAATGGACTACTAGTCCCTACATATTAATGTTGATCACGTTAATAGTCTGAGATATTTGAAGAATTTCATGAAAGACTGACTGAATACCTACCGTAATAACAAAATAATTATTTAATTTTTTTCAATTCAATAAAATATCAACACCAGATAGTATTCTATTTGAAACTTGGAAACAAAAATAAAACCCACATCAAATTTTTAAAATAAGTTGTCTGTGTTATTATCTAGCTAAAATTTTTATAAAATTTTGACAGAACCCCATTACTTACTTTTTAACTTCCCGCTTTGAAAATTAATAATTTTTAGAAGTAGGAAGTTATAGATTTCGGTCCGATTTTGAGAATGCCAATTTTCTTTAGATCTCTACGTTTTGAGGTCCTAGGAAGAAGTCCTAGGTCCTTGTTCCGACTATTTCCGCCTGGACGTCCGGTCGTGTGTTCATTGAGAGTGTACATTGAAACTTTGAGCTGATTAGATTTACAAGTCGAGCCGTTTCAAATATTATCAAAAAATAAAAACCAAAAAACAAAAATGAAATAGATTTTCCAGCATTCCGCTTGAAAATAAGCGGGAAGACCCAAGATTCGCCTGCAGGGTTAACCGTATTTTTTTTTCTCTTTTTTATATAGGATAAGGGTGACAAGCGAGCACACAATCCACCTGATGGTAAGTGGTTACTGTGGCCCATAGACATCTACATCTATCCTCGTTTTCGAATCAAAATGCAGATGCGTTGTCAGCCGTGTGATGACTAAGATGGAATGCCTCTTTTCCAGTTAAAAGGGTTTCCAGTTCTCTATACTTACCATACGAAACACAGCACCGTTAACGTTTTTTACGGTGGTATTCTGTGAGAGCAAAGACTACAATGTTATATAGTGTTCCTCCCCCGGTCTAGCCGACCCATTCGTGCTACAACTATACAATTTATATAGCTGCAGCATGGTGCTACTACGTGTTACCACAGAATAAATAATAGTACTAACGTAGTGTTACTTTAACTAAATTGACCATTGACGACCATATCCTTTGCTGCTTGGTAGCAGTGTGAGATAAATCACGTAGGGAGTCTAAGATAACACCAGAAAGATTATTCCTAACCTTTGATATTTAGCGACATAAAAACCCGCGACGAAAGGTAAAATCAAAATTGAAAGACGTCTGAAAATCACATGTTACATTTTCCGTACAGTTGAAAAGGCTCGAGTCAGCTGTGGATTGTTCACGTGTGATAAAGAAAATAATTAGTAGTAATATGACTCAAATTGTGTAACGTATGTTTCAATGTAAAGGCAATTAAGAATAAATTCGAACTTGTTAAATCACTCTCGGACACACCTCATCTAAGTTACTAAAGGAAGGACAAGGGTTTTAACCTTTGTTTACGTACGCTTTCCAACCTTCGTGTCTAAATTATAGCAAAACAACCTTTAGTGATGACAAAGACGAAATAAAAGCCATAAGAATCGCTTACTTTAGTTAAGTTCAAGTGTCGTAATGGTCTAAGTTCTTAGATAAAGCCACTGATAAAGCAGTGGATTTATCACTTGATTATTGTATGACGTAATTTATGTTCTATATAATTAGGCCAAAATGTTTCCGATTGAAGTGACTAAGGTAACTAAAAGTTGACGATTCACTGTAAGATTGCGTTAATCACGGCAATTGTCAAGATTATACTCGTATGCCGTCAATCTCTTATTAGTCGTGTTTCTTAAAATTGTTACAAGCTTACGTTTGTTTTATAGCACATGCCAACAGTCTAAAAACTGATAAAAAAGAATAATTTCTTTTGTTATTTCAACGGTAACTAATTTTATACTGATTACTTATCAGTAGTGTTAAATATAAATATAGATACGTACCTACAATAGGCGTAAATAATATATTATAACTAATGCAAATCAAAAATGTAAAAAAAAGAAAGAAAATAATAAACCAAGACGCTGACGTAAATGCTTGTAAATGTTAAGATTTTAAAATTAATGTTTCTAACAAAGACTATAAAAACCTACTTATCATAAAGAAAAGACATATCGAGGTTTTTACATAGACGTAAGCCTAAAGCGAGTGAGTGAGTGTGGATTGTTTCTGGCGTCACAGTATTCAGCGTCAGTTGAGTGAGTATGACGTGAGTTGTGACCACTCGTGCCAAATGTGATTCAACCGATATAAATCGAAGCTAGGACAGTTCGCGGCACACTGTGTACCGAATCCTCGCGGAACTACGTTTCTCGTGCTCGTGCGCACTATTCAATGTTTGTAAACGGTGTTCAACTTATCAGTTCACGGTTGGAAAACATTAGTTTGGACTATCAAAGTAAGTATTTATAATATTATTCTGTTTTATTTTACACGTTATGAAATATTTTACGACTACATACAATTTCATGTAATATTAATAACACCTGTTTCAATGCAAGTATGATAAAATTAATGTAGTTAAGGAAGCGTGGGACATTATAAAATTTTTAAGAAATTAGGCCTTTGAAAACTAAAAAAAAACTCCATAATGATTCATTTTATTTTATCTTTACTTTATCGAATATCCGATAGATCGAGTAGTTGTAAAATAGATGCTATTTACATATGAATAAAGTACTTAAAGTCATATATAAAAAAAATATAAAATTGTAATACGGAATAAAACAAATAAAAAGCGATAAGATTTATAATATGTGACGTTACATGATGAATAACAAGAGTCATTCCATGTAATTGTTTTGTTCTTGTCGATAGCGCATTACCTACCTACCTACCTACTCGAGGAATAAATTTCATACTTTGGTAGAAATTATTAACTGTTTCTTTAAGACACGTGTCGTTTAGACTTGTTTTTTTCTACTCTAACTTAATATTGAATGAAAATGAATATTGTTATTCCTCTCAATGATCATAAATTGTTTCGAATAAAACCAGTGAGGCACCGCCAAATTCTGATGTAATTTATGTGGCCATCTTCGCTTTTACGAATCTACGTAGAATTGACGCAAATATCCGTTATAAACATGTATTTATTTTTGATCCAGGAAACATGCAGCCAATACCAGAAAGACCGCCGATTTGCCCGAAAACCCAGCTACCTCATTTACATCTGACACCTTCTGATGCCGGTCAGAAGAAGACTGATGGAAGTCCACAAGAAACAGATAACCCGTGGCTTCTTAAGCCTCAGCATGAGATTCCCGCAACGCCTCCCCCTCAGAAAAATCAACAGGCCGTCAATTACTTCCAGCAAAGGATAGGATAACTCTTAGTCCTATGAAATATGTTGAAATAACTTTGTAATGGCAAAGTGCCATCTTGTCGGAAATCGGAGTTTTTGTATAAAAATACTTTACAAAAAAGCAAATACATTATCATTAGAGGTGAATCGAAACGAGAGTTTTCGCCAAATCTGAGCCAAATGCCAAAAAGACGAATGACACTGTAATGTGCTGTAACTGTACGGGTATTGTTTTTAGCTTCGTGAGATGAGTTTTTTAGGATTACAAGAATGAACTTTTTATAATATAGGATAATATTTTAGACAATACTTACTAACACATTAGAATTACATGTTTGAAACATTATAAATACATATTGAATTTTATGTAGATTTTTAATTGTTGATGAATAATTTTGTAAAACATTAAAATATTATCAGTCTTGAAACATTTATTTTACCTAGTAAAACATAGTTGAGCGACATAGGGATTTCTGTTCCCAACTCAACCATATTTCAGACTAGCTGTTCCCCGCGACTTCGCCCGCGTGTAATTTAGGGTTTTAATTATATTGCTCAGAACCCTATTTCTTTTTCTCAAATATAGGTAGCCTAAGTTACTCTGTAGAACATCGGCTGTCTACCAGTGAAAGTCCCGTCGAAATCGGTCTAACCGTTTCTGAAATTAGCCGGAACAAAGAGACAGACAGACAGACCAACAGACAGACAGATAAAAATTGTGTTTTTGTTATAAGTACCGTATATACACTCATATGCATTTAGTAAAAAGCTGTTATTTTAACATTATAAACAGACACTTCAATTTTATTTATTTGTAGTAGATAAGGGGCACCTGTAGCGTAAATATTATTTTACCACGTTTTTATTAAGTCATTTTCTTGTTTATCTGTCTGTCTGTCTGTCTGTCGTTCCGGGTGAAATTTTGCAACACAAATTTCGAGCACTTTCCTATTAGATAGAGGCTTGAAATTTCGAACATAGCTCAGAATCGGATCACAATGTAGGTAGGAAAAAAAACGTAGTACGTAAATTTTTTTTAATACAAAACTTTAAAAAATCACTTATAATTATTTGTTTACATCCTTTTAATGCAAATAAATTACCTCGTGAAAATAAAATAACATGAATTCAACTTCGATTTACTTTGATGAGTAATTATAGACAGGTTGTGATTTTTTTTAATTCGTTGGGAATTCGTTCATTTTGAAATATTCCGATCCCTTTTTCTTCTTCTGTTATCATATAATCTCACAAAATATCTAAAGACTTCGAAAATAAGTTATTGTACCATCAAAATGAAAGTTAGCAAGAAGGCTTGAATGAAACACACCAAAATAAAATATAAAAAATAATTATGAATAGCACAAAATTATAAGGGTTATATAATCTTACTAGAAGATACTACCAACCAGCTCTGTTGGTCGTGAATAATCTAGCACTATAAGAAATTTTATTATATTTCATTTCTAAAGTACGCCTTTAGTATAATTTTTTCTTGTCCTAAAAAAATTAACTTAAAAAAGATTATTTTGAAAATAATACTTTCTGTGCAAAAATAATATGGTAAATTAATATATATGTCTATAATAAATATGGTTGGCAGTGGGAAAAGGTTTGAGATAAGAACGAAAATTGTTTCTTTTTAAACGATACTCGCAATAAAAAGGGGTACCCCCTTGGTATCGCACGGTCGTTTTACATAAGTTACAAACCAACATTTCTCAGACCCAGAAAAATAAATTTTAAATCATAGAATAGCTAAACGCTAACCACAGATTAGAACAACATGGTAATTAATGTCATAGGCGAATTGGAGGGGTGTATTGAATTGCACCCGACTTATAATAATTAATCTCTAGGATATCAGGTTCAGATGTGCCGGGAATTTTCAAAGACATCAAGGCTAGTTCAAGTTCATCCTAGAGGCTATCCTCATTGGCGCCTTATCTAATGTAAGTTAGTCACGATTGTTGTTGTTATTTGCAAAAAGAAAACAAAACCCTGACTTCTTTTTCTGTTCCTATGTTCGTATGTCAGTTTACGCATAGATAAAATACACTATATATAATGTTTAATAAATTTCTCAAACACAGAAACCATGCATGATTTAAACGTTAGTTTTACGCAGGGCAGTCATTAGTCCCGCAAAAATGCCAGTATTTTGGTATTCCGGGATCTTGCAGTCCCTAGTCACGAATGTTATCAACAAGTTTATCTACAAGAAGAGCTGTGTGTCACATAACTGTATATAATATACACTGTAAATTATACACAATACATACTGTAAAATTTTCTGAAATAACTCAAACTATCAAGATTTTAAATAGTTTTAATGTTACTTCACGCGAAAAGAGCTGATCAAATTATTATTTTTGCATTACGTCAGCAAATTCAAAGTTTGCTGACGCAGGTCGCTACCAAACTTTATTTATCACAAATGTTAACACATTTGAAATGTTTACATCTCGTTAAATGAGTCTACTTACTGCTAAAACTTTAAAAATAAGAGCAAACATTATTTAATTCCTATATCATATAAAATCCTATAGACTCTTTCTTCCTAGGCTATTTTGTAGTAAGGAGCATTTGCCACCGCCACGCATGAATATTAAATTAGCAATCGTAACACTACAACTATTATTTTATAACTGGCTATATCCGAGATGGCTTAATTATCCCATCATATATCGGATGCCGGAAAATTTTTCGAGAATTTTCTTTAGTTGTCCCTTAGGCCGACCATGGGACAAGATGGTGATGAATGATGATGAAATTCTCTTACGCCCCACAACACGCCACGGTATTAAGATCAGTTACACTAATTAAGTCATTTACAATGTGTGACTATTTTAAAAGCTTAAGTGAAAGACAATTATTAAGTCAAAGACGCACATTTACGCACATTCTGCTTAAACAAAATTGTAATGTACATAATATGTAACAAAAATATAAGTAATTATAAAAAATAAGTGATATACGTGTACATTCTGTAAATACTAAGAACAGACAGAATCTAGAAGAGGGTACCAAATACTCGGCTCCACAGAGTTAGTAATTCTGTCTTGGGGGAATGTTACACACTTATACAAATAAAGTTTGTCCACAGCCAAGTTTAAAAACTTTTTAATTATATTACCTAGGACTACCGGGTTGAGGTGATCGCAACCAAGCTAGAATAGTTAATAGTGCAACAACATAATACGCGATTGTAAGTTGTTCTTTTTTATAAAAAAGTCCTGTTGGGTTTCTTGCTAGTTTTTCCCTGTACAGAAGTATTATCTGAACAGTTGGTAAATTATGACTGACTTTACTTTTATTTATAATCCTTTGAATAAAAAAAATATTTCTATAATTATAAAGATCAGAGGTTGTCAACAGTGCAGAATAATTAAGTATAATCCACGCATCTTTATACTTATCGATTGCAAGTACAAAACACTTAGACCAGAAAAGCCATGATTAATTTCTACCCACCTAAATAACTTATATTTATATTGATTTATTGATATTTCTAACTCATATCTACGACGTTCTCATAAACAGAGTGATGTGAATAGCTGTATAGGTACTTCCTGTCATTTCAATCATTAACCAAAGAGTACATAACCACTTAGTTTTATCATTAACTTTTATTCATATGCCGTTTTAAATTTTATACGCGTTTTAATATATGTACTAAAAATTAAATAAATTAGCCACGGTGAGTCAGTTGTCATTGCATGACTCACAACATACAAGTAGATTACGAACTCACACTCGACTCCAAAGCATAGTGGGCAGTAGTTGTAATGCGTTATAATTTTATAATATTTATACAGTTATTTTTTTAAATATGGATTTAAGTTTGATAATGTTTTTAAAATAAGGAATGAAATATTAACAGGGCTAATTTAATAACCTTTTACAAGATGCCACTGTTATACGGGGATATATTAATGTATGTTTGAAACTAAATATAATGAAAAAATAAGTCAGTTAAGTGTAACGGTTACATAATGAAAATAATAAAAGAACAACACTAATTTGAGTCAAAATAAGTCGTAGTTGACAGTCATGTGAGGGCGGAACTGTTGAGAGCTCCAATTGCTGCAATATTACCTCACTTCCAAATATAACATCCAGACAATTAGGAGCAATGAATTGTACCGAATAAAGATCAATAACGGACATTTTTCGTTATATGTTTTCGGATGGAATACATCTAAGTTTTACACACTTCAGAAACGTTTATTGACACGTTAAAACAATATATATAATTATAAATATCAATAATAATGTTTCTGTAGGTAAGCTTTAAACAACTTCTGTAAATGTCTTACTGACGAAAAATAATGAATTAAATTTCCCTTAAGGTAACCAAGTATCGCCCTGTTCAACCTGGTGAAACAATACGTTACTAATAGATTTCAGTTTACTACCAAGGTGGATCGATATACTCAATGAGTAAGCCGTATTAGACTAAAAGAAACATGCTTGATAAGCCAAATAGATATTATTTTTGTTTTAGAAGTGGAGGTGAACCTAATAATACTTAAAAGTATGTATCAGAGTGTATGCTACTGATGGCAATGAGGTGATAAGTGTTTGGTACGATCGATGTTTGTGATACAATTGTTTTATAATTGGACTATTTACTGCCAGCGACGTAATGGATATCAAAATTGAATTACTAGAATATTCAGAGTGAGCTCTTCAAAGCGTTGCAGTGCGGATTGTTTTGATAAATGATAATGGCTTACCTCGATAACGGTGTGCGGAGGTCACTCGATATATTTAATTGCAGCTTTAATACTTAATATAGGTGTATATTTAGAACAAGGGATGGTCACCCGCTGAATCTAGCGCCGGCGAAACCTGATGTGCCGTGTTACGTAGCGGGCTCTATCGGTCGCTGAAGTATGTAAAGACCATCTAATAGTCCAGAGACGGCATATCCGAATATAGTGCGTATATTTGCTTTGTTTCTTATAATTTATATTTTATTTGTATTGTTTCGAAATTCTGTTTATTTTATTAAAATAATT